GCAGCCGCAAGCGAAGGCGCTGAGCCACTAAGGCTAGACACACGAGGACCGGCATTCGAAGCGGGGGTATGTGCAATGAAAAACACGGCGACTTCTGCGATCGGTGAGAATTTTGTTTGTCAGTTCCCGACGGGACCCTCGCCGCAGCGTGCGTCCTATCTTCGCGGCAGTTGTAATGAATTGTCATGATTAGGCATGAGTCATGAGAGCTGAACCTCCGTATGCTCGGACCTTCAGGTCATTGCACAAATCCTGATGCAAAAAAGGGCATGATTAGTCAGGACAGTTTTGAACAGGTCTTGTTGACACGAACCACCAGACACACATTGGGGCAGCATCCGCCGAGTGTCGGCGGATTGGCAAGCAGCACATCTCGGCCTGCCATGTCGCATGGAGGTGGCCATGTTCGACACAGTAGACTTTGGATGGTAGCCTGGTTCCTGGGCGCTTGGTGGCAAGAAGCTGAGCGAGAGACCTTTGCTGGCATCCTGCAGAAGCGGAGACACTTCAGCCTCAGAGCCAGGGACTTTGAGTCCGAGCTGTCTGTGCAGGATATGTTGAACATGCATAGAAAGCGGAATGCTGACAGAGTTCCTCAGACGGAAGGCCAGCCAGAGGCAACCGCCGTTCTGACGCCTGAGGTGTTGGCAGCAAAACCGAGCTGGCTCCAGTTGAAACCAGCGGCAGAACTCCCATGTGTCTTCACACCTCGCGAGGAAGGTGTCAGGAAGCTCGGAGAGCCAATTGAATTGAAGTTCTGGCAACATGCATATGTTCGACTTTGGCAACATGCACGTCTTCACACTGGCGGGGCTGTGGCTGTCCGCTACAGCCGCGGCTCCCTTGCACGAAGCCCCCATGCTTTTGCACTGTGGCCTTCAGCACCAAGGGAGCGCCCCGATCTGAGTGAAGGGATCGAAGGTATCGGAAGTGTGTGGTGTTTGCACACCTCCCCCAAGGCAGTATGCAAGGGCTGGTTCTGGGTATGTTCAACCTCACCGCAGGAAGCCGAGTGGAGGCAAAGCTACCACTGCTTGCCATTGCTCATTGCAGCTCAATGAGGTCAAGACGATCCATCCTTTTCCAATCTTGCGATTAATGCGTCCTCCGGAAGAGACAGATGAGGCCCTTTGATTGCGGAAATGCGATATCTTGGAGCGGGCAGCCCAGGAGGTTGAGGCTCACGAGCCGGCCGAGCTGAACGCCTTCCTTCGAAGCTTGGCAGGATTGGCAGGAGTCTCGAGAAGCCGACGCCTTCGAATTCAGCAGCACAGGAAGCTTGGGGGATCCGGCCAAGCAGGGAGCTGCCATCAGGGTGGAAGTCTCAGCTTGGGTGCCCACACTTCGCTGTGTTTGGCATCTGTGTTTCAAGGACATGACCACTGCAGACCGACGAGCTTTGCTTCGCTGGCTAGCTGCTGGGATTGCCATGGGCTGCGCAAAGGTAAGGCACGGTCTGGTCGCTGAGTATCTAAGGCTGGCGGCGCAGCAGGGGCCGTGATGCTTTGAGAGTTGATTTGATAAAATGGTAGAATCAGCTCTGCCTCGTGCGCATGCACACGACACATCTCTTCCCATGCCACCCTCATGTGTCCTGACTGTGTTGGCAAGCGCTCCAGTTTCATGCCGACCTGACCATTCAGCTGCCACTTCAGTGTCAAACTTGGCGTGGGTCTGCTGGAAATTTGTGGTAATACGAACCCCGAACTTAGCACGGCAGCTGCGATGTTCCGTGTGCCGCACGCAGATGGATGTGCTTTCGATGGGCGCATACGCATGTGCGCGCACATGTGCACGAGTGCACGCCCGGCCCTCCTACTGTACCGGCTTGCATGCCTTATGGCAAAAGCTTTCGGGGCTCACTGCTGAGTCGCAGGAGGTGCTCCGACCATTCATCGCCATGGCTAGCCTACGAGAACGGGGCAAAGCCACTTGGCGGGGATACCGAAAGCACCTTCTAGAAAAAGTACACGATGACGACGAATGGAACACCACGAGAGTTCCTCGATCCCCCTGCTGAGTTTTTCAGCCGTTCAATGGCGGAAGTCTCGCATAGCCGAGCTCTCAGGCCCGGTCAGTGGCTTCGCGATGCTGCAGTGATGATTTTGGCGCTTTGGAGCTTTCTGAGCGCGTGTCGGCTAGAGATTTGTATGCAGCGTTCTACGGCAAGCATGTGGCCCTAGTGATTCGGATTACCACGATTGGGCAAATCAGTAGCAAGCAAGTACACCGCATCTCCGAATGGCGATTGGTCACATTTCGCGATTCTGCTCTTGTGGACTGGAGTGCCGATGCAGCTTGCGAGAAGCTGCGTGAGAAAGTGCATCATGCGAAGAGGACTCCTTGCGAACATGGTTCGGACGTTCTGGTGCTTTGTCGGCGCCTTTCTGACGTGAACTCTTAGACGAACCAACGTGCGCCCACGG